TAGATGTTTTCTGTTGCTCTTCTCTTCTGGCTGGAGACAGACAATAACATTATTCTCTAGCTTCCTGACTAGTTTCTCTTCTAAGCTGTTAACTTCAGGAGTGTGACCATTTCTGCATTTGTGATTTAAAAAAAAAAAAAAAAAAAACAGGCTACATGAAGACAGTATTTTTATTTATTGTTTCATTTATTGGGATTTTTTTGGTCTTCTTTAACACATTCAGTGCAGTAAGGAACCACGATCCATTAACAATCCCATTCAGGCAAGGATGCTGATTCTGTTGAGTGTTCCTCTCAGAAATGAACTGCAGTGCTGGTTCATTGAGTCTGTATTGCATTTCAGTGGTCATTGTGTCCTTAATGGTACCACACGCTGAATTAAAATCCTCCATGACTCTCATTTCCACTGCTTGGAGCATTTTAGTATAAAAGATGCAATTGGTTAAAAGATTAGTGTTAGTGTAGATGTTTGTGGTGGGATAGCTTTTAGGCATCAAATGCTGTCAGTGCCATTCAGCTCCCTAGTGTTCCATGAACTGGGCAGGTGGCAATTTGTATCTTTTCAAAAATTACATTACGAATATCCCTGGTGCCACTGTAGCCGGTTGTTTCTAGTCTTCTTTTATCTCTTGAAAAAAGAAAACCCTTGAGTTCCACATGCACACAGTGGTGGGCATTGCAAAGAGTCTCTCTTATGAATTTTTGCTAATGAGGATGTGTTTTCTTCCGACACACACCAGATCCCACTGGGGCAATCTTGCTTTAAAATTTGGAAGAATCCAGCAGGGTATGGTTAACTGACTCTGGAGGCTGCAGCACGTATTTCTGCAACCTGTGGGATTCAGTCGCCGTTTTCAGCTGACAGCTCCAAAGAGTTCTCTGTGGAAATGGAACAAATCATACTGTCAAATATCAGAAATAGAATCAAGCCCACTCTCAAGTTACATGTTGGCTTTAAGATTGTAATATCCCCTCCCTTTGTCACATCTTTGTTTCTGTGTTACAGCACAATACACGTTAAATATTAGCCACCTGATGATATGGGAAATAAGGGCATTAAAATAAAACTCAATAATTTCCAGATGTTAGTATAAGAACTGTGTATTTTTATTAGCAGCACATAGCTGTTGGAGGAAAGGAATCTTGTCATGTCAGAGAGTAAGAAAATCTTATTTCTTATTATTTTCTATAAGAGCAGCCACTGGAGAATGCCTTTCATTGTACATACTTGTATTATATGTAACGGACAGTTAACCATTAGTGATATGACCAAAGGGGAGAAGAGAACAAATTCATGGATGGAGGCCATGTTCTCTTGAGCTGCCTTGGGTGGTTGGCTATGAAGAATAGTATCAGTAGTGGAATCCTCAAAGTTGCAGGATAGGGAGTTAAGCCTGATCTGGTCTATCATTTCATATAGTCTGTTATTTGCATATACAAGTAGCTGTTAACATGTCTGGAGACACAAACTTAATTTGAGAACTGTGCTTTCCCCCCTGGTATTTACTAGGCTGTGTTGTAGGGGAAATAGAAAGATTAATCTAAATAATCTATAAAGAAGTTTTTGACACCACATGAAACTGAGACTAATCAAAGAACTGATTGACCTGCGGTAATTCAAAATATGAAGTTTGAATTATGTAATGGTATCTTTGAGCTATACCACATTTAAAATTAAAATGATCATCACATAGGACTTTTTAAATAGAAAGAACATTGCAGCAATATTTTTTTTAAAAAATGATTTAAACAAAATCTAATTTAAATTTAAAAAATATTTTTTAATTTTTTAAAAAAATCATCATTTTTTACCCATTCTGTTGTCTGCCTCCTAACCCAGTAGAAGTGTAACTTGAAAATGTTTTTCGAATGGAATGGGGAGCACTCTGTAAGTATATCTATACACTACAAAGTTGTAGAAATGTGATGCTGCTCTAACTGCCATGATTCTATCTGACATAATCCTAGGGTTTGGAGTTAGGTGAGATACCAAGAATTCTCTGCTAAACACCTCTGTTACACTCCTCTGAATGACAGCACAGAAATGTATGTACTTCACCAAACTACAAATCCCAGGATGCCTTTAGTCTGGAGCCATAGCAGTTAAAGTGATAGCAAACCCGTGTTGATACAGAAGAAACTCTCAGACCAAACATCCTTTAGAAGTGGTGGCTGCTGGAGTGAACCTCCTTGCAGATACAGTAATCTCTGGGGTTGTGATAGGTAGAGACATACAAGAAGAGGCATAGACTTAGATACAGACAAATGCTTGTGTTTTTTTAACTTGAATACAATAAAAATAATTAAATTTTTGGAATAACGTTGAAGTGTGGTAGGTAGGAACAAAAACCACAGCGCTTCTTCTGCAACCTCTGGAATGAAAAACAGCCAGAATCTCTGCCTATCAATCTGGCTTTATACAAAGATCTGGAGAAGGAGGGCTGCTTTCTGTAAATATTTAGCTTCCTGCAGATGTACTTATGTGTAAACTACTCTGCATGCCTCAACTGTAAGGCTGTTTTACTGTGCCGCAGTGTGGTTTAGTTGTCTGGCTTTGGAGCCAGAGATCAGGAGTTAGATGCCCCACTGGGCCTCCTTGACAGCTGGACTCAGTGACCCGTAGGTCCCCTCCAGCTCTGATAATGATGATTATGATGATACAGAACTGAAAGAATGGGGTACTATGCCATGCTGAGTGGAGGGAGTTATTTGCACGGTTATATATCATATTTGAAGCTGGAAAAGGTTGTTAACTTATTTTGTTATTGTCAGATCCACCAAGGCACCCAGACGACATTTCTGCAGTATTCTGGTGGATTTCTTGAGTGGTCTTTGCATTACACACGAGTGCAACATCAAAAGGAGTGCAATGATCATATTATGCAGATGTTTTCCCTAATTGGCAGTGAAGTTCCTCAGTAACCTTTCCCCTCCAAATCTTTGTTAGCCTCACCCGCGTCTGGTTTTGACATTCTAGTATCTCGCTGTAAATTCTCTCCTTTCTCAATAATCTTATATTTTGAGAAATGAGTGTTTATTTTATGTTGTACAGAATGCAATATAATCTTATCTTGCAAGAAACCAAAAACGTCATCATCATTCCTGTTTTGCAGATTAAGATATGAAGGGAAAAGTGCTTGCAAAGATCACCCAGTGAGCTTCTGGCTGACCTTGGTTCTGAATGGACACTATCCGAAGTCTAGTACTGTATATAATAGCCAGACAGTTCAGAGCGATCGGGACAGTTTGGAGAAATAACAGATTGATTAAATGCCTGTTAGTTGCTCATCATTTAGCCTTGGAAAGCTGATTGCTGAAGGCACATCTTTTTAAATGGATCTAGTCCAAAGAAACATGTGTTTTAGCCCTAAATCTATAATCCTACATGTACTTCCATTAGAATCCATTATTTGTACATAAATTTTAGGGTTGATTGATAAAGTCCAAATGTCCTTCATTCTAAACCCATCTTCTTACTCCCAAACAAGCTCCACTGAGTACAGTAGAGTTCATGCCAGAGGAAAAATATATTAGTATTCCACCTTTGAAACAGAGAGCCTGGTTACATTAGTTAAAAAAATCCCCACATTTAAACGAGTTTTAGTGAGTTTTAAATCAATGTTAAAAAAATCAATTCAAATACAGTGGTGCCTGTTAATTCGTTCCAGCAAAATCGCTGTAGAACGAAATCGTCGTAATGCGAATATAAAAAGCCAATTGAAACGCATTGAAACCCCTTCAATGCGTTCCAGTGGGCTGGAAACTCACCGTCCAGCAAAGATCCTCCATAGGGTGGCCATTTTCGGTGGCTATCTTGTGAGGAATTCGTCCCAGAAAACAGCAGGGAGCCATTTTATTTACCCAGCGGTCATTTTGAAACCGCTGATCAGCTGTTGGAAAATCATCCCGAAGCAGAAAACCGATCATCGCAAAGCGAAAAAACCCCATTTAGACCATCATGTTGCGATCGCAAAAAGATCATCGTAATGTGGTTTCGTCGTAATGCGGGGCAATCGTAAAGTGAGGCACCATTGTACCGCCTTACTGTCATGGTGATTTCAATAATACTGTTGCATATTCTGACCTATTTCAGTAATGTAACCTCACTCTCAGAGGGAGGCCCCAAAGATTTCATTTGGTCTGACTTCCAGGAAAGTATGCACAGGATTACAGACGGAGATTTATTGCTGTAAGCAGTAAGTTCTTCTGCTAACTACTGTAGTAAGCAGCAGTTCTCTCATGAACTTCAATAAGCAAAATCTATGCTTGCTTTTCAGAAGCATTTTTGCTCATCTTTTGCATCCAGCCTTTTTCGTTCATTCACACAGGTTGTTGTTTATATCGTTCATAAATTCTCAGCTTAGAATATGTAGCCTTTGTTTATAATATGGAGGTATCAAGTGGTTAAAGAGAAAACTGTCTAAATTTTATTTTTTTTTAAATACTAGTATTCAGAAATCCTTTTAATTAGGAAAAATCCTAAGTGGTATAAAAAGAAGGTCACCTTCCTCAGGCGTAAGTTTTCAGTAGGCGCTAAAAACTCAGAAAGAGATTATGTTTGTTCATATTGTGTGTGCTGTTACTTCCAAAGACTATTTCTGATATATCAAGGAATTGATCCAAGTTGGGAAATACTCCTTAAAAAAAGTAAAGCAAAGTGGGCTGCTTATATAGTGCCCTATAGTGCTTAAAGTGTTGTTTGGGCAGTTTACCAATTAATTATGCAGGCTGCTCATTGCCCTCCACTGAGCTGAGTACTCGGTTCACCGACCTCGGATGGAAAGCTGACTGAACCTTGAGCAGCTACTTGGAATTGAACTCGGGTTGTGAGTACAGTAGAGTGTTGGCCTCAGTACTGCAGATTAGTCACTGCGTCACAAGGCTCCTGCAACAGAAGGATCTTGTATCTTGGGCACCATGTTGCTTTGTTTGCCAAAAAAAACCTAAGTGATGTGAAACATTCCCCTTCATAACATTGTTCATTTGCCATTTGTTCTGCAGGTTCTCGGCCCACAGATCAATGTGTCTTGTCACCTGTCAATAGCTCACATCCAGTTCAAGCCTTGCTGGAAAGCTTCACCGTCTTGTCTGGCTGTGCAAGCAAAGGAACTGCTGGATTGCCCCAGGAGGTCCATGTTCTCAATCTCAGGAGTCCTGAAGAGGGTTCTGGACACCATGAAAGAGAGGTAAAGGAGAGCTCTTGCTGCTGCCTATACTTCACCTTTGGTGGCCTTTCAGGCAGCTTTGCTGAAGAGGACACTGCCGTGACCTGAGAGGGGTGATGGTTAGAGGGGTGGATAGTGAGGGCAGACCAAAGGAAAACATGATAAAGAAACTAAAAGGCCACGTTCAGAAAGAAGTCTTTACCTTTCTCATACAGGCTCTGGGATGCTGGGTTTTACAAGGTGTAGTGCTGACCACATCTCAACATCTCTGACGTCAGTAGTGTACTTGCCTCTGACTAGGCCCAGGTCTGCCTCAAGTGAGACCCAAGGTGGTGCTGCTGACTTACCAAGAGTGGTTTTCTCAACTGACACATGAGTTAGCAGCCCTTTCCAAGTAACCCAGCCATAGTTACATAATAAGATCTTTTACATGTCATTTACATTTTTATCCTGTTGTTCTGCGAAGGCACTGAGGATGGTAAAAGGTAAAAGGTAAAGTTTCCCCTTGACATTTTTAGTCCAGTCGTGTCCGACTCTAGGGGGCGGTGCTCATCCTGTTTTTCAAGCCTTAGAGCCAGCGCTTGTCTGAAGACAGTTTCCGTTGTCACGTGGCCAGCGTGACTAGGGAACGCCGTTTTACCTTCCGACCGAGATGGTACCTATTTATCTACTCGCATTTACATGCTTTCTAACTGCTAGGTTGGCGAGGAGCTGGGACAAAGCAACGGGAGCTCACCGTCGGGTGTATTCGATCTTACGACTGCTGGTCTTCTGACCCTGCAGCACAGGTTTAGCCCGCAGCGCCACCACGTCCCTGAGGATGGTACATGTGGTCAACCCCTCCTCCCATTTCATTCTCATAACGAGCCCATGAGATGTTTTAGATTAAAAGGCAGAAAATAAATGGCCTTGAGGTCTACTTGAGTGGAGATTTAAGTCTGGTCTCCCAAATCCTGGTCTGAAACTATAACTTTCAGACAGCAGTGGTGTTTTTACTTGTCAAAAATGTCTCTTTTCCCTTCAGGTTTTACTTGCTGAAAATGTTGTAGATTACATCCAAAATATTGCCATTTGTCATGGGTGGCCCAGGAAATATGGGTGCCTCAGACAGACCAGCAAATAGTATTCCACCCATCTCCATTTCAAGATATATGGTACCCAAGAGTATCCATATTATTTTGGCACAGAATAGTTCGGCCATTTGAACTTTTTTAAAAAGAGGCTACATTGAGAAAAGAAGTTTTGAGTGGAGAAGTTCTGTGAGAGGCGGATGCTGAACTTGTATTCTGCTCAGTCATTTCTTCCCACCAAATGTTAATCCCACTTCCTATCAGTAATTCAAGTCAAGTCAAGTCAAGAACCTTTATTGGCACCTGAAAAGAAACATACTGTACATTATAACATAACAGGCAACAGTAATTGCATAGGGCGGGGGAGACTTGGAATAGAGAAGTAGGATGCTGAGTGTTAATCCTCCACTTCCTTGCCACTTCTCTGTTTTAAATCACACCCTCCTAAAGCCCTGGTTTTTTTTAGAAAAACAAAAATCTGGGCTCTCTTACGATTAGCTCTTACCATTAGTCTCTAAACTGAAATACTCTGACAAATATTTTACATTTGTTTTATACCCCCTAAGACTTAGAATCTGAGGCCAAATTACTTCTTTAGACTATATTTCCCAGAATCTCCCATAGCATTGGCAATTCTGGGGGATGTGGTACAAAAACCCAGCTTCCCCAATCTTGGCTGAAAACATTTCAAATGTTCATTATAGTTAGTAAGTGCATCAATCATCTCCAGTATGCTTAGCTTAATTTAAAATATGAGAGAGAGAAAAGAGTATTAAGGAACAGATTTGTAAAAAGAAGACAACCTTCTTCAAAGCCTCTTTGCCTGTGTTGTAAATTACCCTGCTTATTCTTGGAGGTTTGCCATAACCACTATAAACAAATGTTTAAACTCTTCTTCTAGCCTCAGTTGTGGGTCTTTGGTCTTAAAATGGTGAGAAATGTTGATCAGATTGCAAGTGTTGCTAACTTCAGTGGTTCTTCTGTATTGTGTAAATGGATCAGCAATGCCTCTGTTTCAAGAAACGTGGGGAAAGGATTTTGTTAGAGTTGCAGTGAAGAATAATGCATGAGGAGAGACATTTTCCTGAGCTTAAGCTTGTACAGTGTTATTGTTTGCTCTGAGAATATATGAAAATAGACATGCGGTGGGCTGGGGAAAAAAGGAGATTCTAGAAGCTAAACACGAAGAGTGGAATACGCCACAGTCCGTTGCTAGGATATGTAGAGCCAGGCGTACAGGCTCGGAGGCTACTCTTGAGCACATCATCTTTGTTTATCCTGTGACTTTCAGGACAGTTTGCTTCTAGGTAAGTATGTTTAGTATTGAATTCCAAGCAAGAATTACCCTAGCATTAGGCAGAGTGAGGAAGACACCCTAGCCAGCAGATACTAAATGTTTGGGAGGGGTGCTGAGATCTTAGAGGACAGAGCTTTGAATTCCCACATTCCCTGCATGCCCTGAGCCAGTCCGCTGCCTTCGGTATGTGACATACAGTACCAGATCAGTCAACTTTTGTATATGAAACCCTGGCAGGGCAGATTGTGGGTGCCTCTTTTACCTCAAAATGTCTCACGCCAGCTATGGTTCCAGTAGGTATATTGAGTATTTACTCTTGGTATCACTTTTTTTTAGTATTTACTCTTGTTATGAGATTTTAAACTCCCATTTAAGCTTGATGAGATTAGGGTGTCTTCCTCACTCTGCCTAATGCTAGGGTTTTTGCTTCCTTGTAAACAGCTGGATTTCTAAGTCCGAATATGGGCCTATCGAGTCAGTGTTGCTCACACTGACTGGCAGCAGCTTCCTGTGTTTATAGGCAAGAGTCTTTTCTGTTGTCAGCCAGAGATGCTAGGAACTGAAAATTGGACCTGAAAACGTGTGCTTTCCATCCAGCTGCAACTTTCCCCCGAATCACCTACGCTTTCAGCAACAGTTTTCCAAATCTGACTTTCCTGTGTTTTGAGGGTGTAATATAGTAGCTTCTCCACGTGCTGTTGCAGAGCACATTCCATGTCCTCAATATTTCATGTATTTCCTGTGTCCTTCTGAATGTTGGGTCTTCGTAGTCGTCAGGGATGGCTGCTGAGAAAATTAGCCAGGAACCTAGAAAAGGATTGCTGGGAAAACATAAGTGTATAAACAACTGGGTTAGAACAGGAGGGTTTTTTTTCTTTTGCTTATAGAAGTTCGAAAACAAAATAGTGCAAAGGTTATCTTTACCCTCATTGTTAGAACTGAAGCTTGATGCTTAAGTTTAACTCAAGGAAACTCAAAGCCTCGTCACCTCAGGCTGAGAGCAGAGTTGCTTCCTCGTGGCTTATGGCATTTCCTGTTGCCTGACAATTCATTTTGCAAAGGCAGAGATTTATACATTGATCGTGCAACGTTTCCAAGATCTGGGAGTGTAAATGGTATTTTCTGATCTGTTTTTGTTTGTATACCCCTGCTCCCACGTAAAGAGATGGCAAGCTAGCTTTCCACATGCCCTTTCATAATCTCAGGGGTAGGGCGAAGACCGCATTAAAAAAATTTATTCCTGCAGTTGGCTTGTTAGAAGTGTGTGTTTTGTTTTGTTCCTGAAGCTTGTCACGTTACAAGTTCTGCTAAATTACATATGCCTACATGCTGAGAGGGAGCTCACATTGCCTTCTTGCAGCAAATCCCTCATAGGCTTCATGCATTAAACATTCTCCCACTCTCATTCTCTTTCTCATAAATATACAACATATTGCGGTTACATTTTTTGACACTCTCTGAGAATAGAAGTCTGAAAACAAAAATCTCTTAAACATAACCACTTGCAGGAGGGCAAGCTGCTTTTTGCATCATGTTCCAAGCACTGAGGGTCTGATAAAACTAATTAAAATTATTAATCCCCATGTAACAGAATATTATGGTGAAACATTTAGGGGAATACTTGAGGTATTTCCAGAGTTACAGTACCTCAGAAATATTGGCTGCTTGCAGAAACCTGGGATATAAAACCTATATGGAAATGTAATGACATAGCAGTTAGACAGTTTTAAATTCTGTTGCTATTTAACTTCTTTAGTTCAATATTTCCCAACCAGGGGGTCGTGACCCCCAAGTGGGCTGAAAAGTGTTTTCTGGAGGTCACAGGCCAGCTTGTATATGTTGTAGCCCTTCTTAAATAATTTCTTTCTTGACCTTTCAGAGCAGGATATTAAAGTTAGCCTGTATGAGAAACAGGCCCTGTGGGGGAGAAAGAAGCCTCTACTTTCTGAGAAGGGATGACTTTACTCCATTAAAAATGCTCTTTTATGCAAATGTGGTGATGGGGTTACAGGTTACTTGGCTATTATAAAAGAGGGTCGCAACTTGGAAAAGGTTGGAAACCACTGCTTTACCTGCATGATTGTGATTAGGAAAAATAGGACAATAGTTGATAGAAAGGGGATTGTTAATATTAAGATTTATTGTATTTTTTGCTGCAATAGACACACTCTCCCCCCCAAATAGTGGGGGAGAAAGTATGTGCATCTTGTGAAACAAATACAGAAAAAAGGGGGTCAACCAACACCACCCAGAAACCCCCTACTGCCATGCTGGAAGGCCTCTGAACTAGCACCAGAGACTGCTTGCTATTTAGACCCCCCCATTCTGCACTGCTGGCTTTCCAGGATCTGTTTCCTATAGCCCACCTAGAAAACCAGCAAGGCCTGTGGTAGCAGGCAGTAAAAATAGCCAAGGACCAAAGAGGAAAGAGTAATTCTAGAAAGAACAGGGGAAACCACAAACATAGTCCCCCACTTAGGCAGTTGCTTTCCCCACATTTGGGGAAATCACAGGGGTCAACATATCCAAAGTGCAATAGATGAGCCTTACCCTGGGAAAACCACTTTTACAATAATGGTATCTCCTCTGCCAGGTATGAGTTAGCATGGCCCCTGGCCTCCTGCCCCTTTCTGTGCCTTGCCTCAGTATGGTGA